ATACCCAAAAAGTACCCGAATAAAACGTAACATCAGTCCCGTAACATATAACGACGTAACATAAAAGTACCCGAATAAAACGTAATAAGTCCTATGAATCAAGTATAATCGTTCAGTAAAGTTGAGGTTTTTTATTCGCTCGTAAAAAAGAAGTGCGCTTGTGTAAATTCGATGTCTCATATTGTCCAAACTATGCGGTTTATCCAGCGGTCGGCTGAACTCGCGTGACCGGATTTTGCAATTTAAAAGTTCGTTTAAGCGCCGAGGGACCGAGGGTTCTATTTGACGAATCTTATACTTCGTCCAAAATTAAACAGCAAACTTTCGCCAAAGTAGTACAGTGCAATGAACATTTTGAATTTAAATTGCGATCGAATTCTATAAAATTGCTGCAGTTTTTTCCCACGAACTAGCAATATTTATGCATCATTAGGTCAGTCAATGCCAATTTCAAATCATTAAGATGAGTTCCATGTAACAGAAAGACGGGCGATTAACATTGCAAGGAAAAATTGCAACTTTTCCCAACTCTATTGCAATAAATTCCAAAAAGATGCGCCTGTTCAATCAGTAGATAGACAACATACACTACACTCCGGTGCAATAGCAATATCATGTAAATTCAATTTATTGCAATTTGTGCTCCTTGGGCGGCTCATAAGACCGAACTTCCTTTTTTCATCATAGGGTGTGCAGATTTGCCTAAGCTGCGTTCTGACCTAATGTTGATCCTTGATATGATCAAATATGAGCGAAATCTGTACTTGTATCTCGCGACAGAACCCGAGCAAAGTTTACGCTGTTAAAAATTGTGGAGTGCGATTCGGTGCCGGAGTCTGTATAGCGCGGAACAACCCTGAGTGCATGAATACGGAGCGAAATCCGCTCTTTTTACGAAGCGGCATTCACTCGTTTTGCGTGTTTGCTCTTTTAGTATCATATGCTTGGTGCTAATTTCACTCCGCATTCATATCACTCGCGGGGTTTTTGGGCGCTACATAGACGACTCCGGCACTAAACTTCACTCCTCGATTTTTAACAGTTTAGCAGAACGCTCATTGGATCTAGAGTCCAGACTCTTAAAAACATCGACAACCCTGGTAAAAATTGGCGATAGGAGCTGCGTTTCAAAATACCATAGGAGTTCTTATAGCCGACTGAAGAAGGCGATAGAAAATCATATAGCTGGCTGTAGAAAGTGGAAAAAATCATACGGCCGGGCTACACGAAGCGATAAAACATTAAACAACCGGACTTTACTTCCTGTCGCCGGGCTTTACACTTTATCACCTGGCTGTTGCTTTTTCGCCATCGGCTATAAAAGGCTATAAGAAATTGTGTAGAAATTCGTGTGCTTTGTGAATCCGCAAGTTTGTACGGAATCACCATAATATTTACAAAACGCACATTATATTTTCCTTTACTACATATTTGTTTTCATCAATTAAAATGAGAATAATCCATACAGAGTGTGCAAACATTTCAAAGTCATGAGTTGAACAACGCTGACTCCACGAGATCAAATATAAGAGCCTAACTTAAAGCGGAGCGGCGGCGCACTGGCGCCTACAAACCTAACAGGGATACTTCACGCACTGCGCAATGCGTGAAGTATCCCTGTTAGGTTTGTAGGCGCCAATGAGCGTTTCGCGCTGGCTGCCCGCCCGCCGCGCTGCGCCGCAGCGTACCACGGCGCTTTAAAGCAACTATTTCACACTAGAGGTATTGCATAGTATCGTACGAAATTGAAGACGCTCCAACATATTAGGAATGGCAGGCATCCTTCAAAAGTACGGAGCTACCCTTGCAAAATAAATCAAGATACTACGACCCAAAAAGACAGCGGTAGTCCAAAAATTCACTAAGTCCTAGCATCCGTAATTAGTAACGGAAAGCATACACTTTATCGTCAGGCTGTTGCTTAATCGCCATCGGCTATAAAAAGCTATAAGAAATTGTGTTGCCGGCTATAGAAGCTATTGGACATCTTACAGTCGGCTGTAGGTCTATGGTATTTTGGAACACAGATTCTACTGCCAATTTTTACCAGGGAAGAAAAAATACTCTTGATTCAATCAGATTTAAGTTTAAATCAAGAACCAAGCCTCTTAATTTGAGCGGATTTCCTTTTGATTTAAGCTTAAATCTGATTGAATCAAGAGTCCCTTTTCTTGTCAATGTTTTCAAGAGTCTGGACTCTAGATCCAATGTGTTTTTTTTTCCAGTGCTCTTTCTGGTTTTGCTCTATGAGAACCTTTCCGACCTAACAGCTATACCCATGTCAACGTCGCCAAGATAGTGCATGCATTCAACTGTTTAAGTTGGTAGTTTTGTTCTGAAATTTGCCTCAAATTTTCTTCCTATTTTCTGAATATTTTGGCAGCGAAGTTTATAGTGTGGGTGATTTTGGATACTCGTAGAAAAGAGGAAAAGTTGCAGAATCTCAGCGACGTTGACATGGGTACAAGCTGTTTGGTCGGAAAAGTCATCATATCCCCTAAAATTAGTGACTCTGCATTCTACCATCCTGCTACTTAAATCCCACGTTTATTTCTAGTTTCATCGTCAAAATGTGTATAAGCTATTTGGTCGGAAAAGTCATCATATCCTCTAAAATTAGTGACTCTGCATTCTACCATCCTGCTACTTAAATCCCACGCTTATTTCTAGTTTCATCGTCAAAATGTCACGCTTTGGCTATTTTGTGACGTCATCGACAGATTTTTTCTCAATGAGAGGAGCTAGTTTACGGGAAGCGAGATGTAACACCGGGGATTTTGGCATAGGCCCAGCCGCGCGCGGTGCGTGCAGGACGCGTGATCGGTGCCTCGAATCGTATCTTGATTTTTAAAGTTGATTTAATGATACCGCGCGCTGCTCAAGGCGGTCATTTTATTCCCAGTCGGCCCCCACACCTCGCAGTTCGATAGCTCGAATTTCGATTTTTCGCGTGCCGCTGATAGCGGCGAGTCGAAACACGTATCGAGTCCCCGTTTCGTTCGATCCGGCTTCGCTTGAACTCGATAACGCGCAGTTTATGCTAATGCGAATCTTTCATTATTTTCCGTCGAGTTTTTGCGTATCATCTCGGAGCCCGCGCTAATTTGAGAGATTCAACTTGGGGTTCGATGTGTCTCGCCTCTTGAGGGCATCGGCCCCCTCTTAACCCCCCCCCCCTTTCCTATCTTTTGCTATACCGAAGAGCTGTCAATCGATATGAATGTTTGCTCTTATAGTTGTGAAAAAAAATAAAAATAAATAATCGGACACCGACTTAGAAGTGGTGAAAATATCGATGCAGTTTGTCGATTTTTCTTCGGATTCTCTCTTTTTGCAATTTTACCGAATATTTTGCGGATTTGAATTATTTTATGCACGTTGGCCCTCATTCCACCGCTCGCTGCTTTCATCGCAAATATAATGAAACTGATAGCAGCAAATATAGAAGATTACGTTTTTTTTGGTGTTTTATTTACTTTTTAACGAGATGACCGTGATAAGTAGTGGACGCACTTGCATCAAAGCTGGCACTAAGGGGACGTTTCGACGTCACGCGAGTTAATCGAGAGGAATGAACGAAAATTTAGAATTTTTTGTTTCCACACATTTAATCTGTTAAATTTCTTCCTAGTATTGTTTTTTTGTCAGCAATAACTTCAATATAACAAGAATCTGGAAAATTTTAGAATATCTAAAGTTGAAAAAGCAGAACGCAGCATTTCTCAAAAATTAAGATTGTATCAAATGGAGAATTTATATGTATGTAGATTGCCTTATGTCTTCGTGTGTCCACACTCCCGACTCCCGTCCTTCCGAAAAAAGGGCCTGATTGCTTTAGTAATAGGAAAGGTGACGTTTATTGATGTCGTCAGGTGTTTTCGATTTTCAATAATGGGTCATACGTTCCAAAAGCGCATTATCCGCACTTGTTTCTCGGATATATTTCTACAGGGGTGCAGAAAACGCTTGATCACGCGCGTAAAAATGTGGAAAAGCCCCCTGAAATGTGGAAAAAGAGCACATTCTGAAGAGTCGAAAGTCGAAAGTCAACGGAAAACAGGAAAAAAATGTCATCCTCTTTTAATTGCCGGGAAATTTTATGGAAAACCGATGAAAAAAATGTAAAAAGCCGGCGGACGGGCGCGTGGAAACGTGGGAGCTTGGAAAATTCTGCACCACTGTTATGATGGATTTTTTTTTTTTTTTTTTTTTTTTTTTTTTTTTTTTTTTTTAAATTCCCTTTTTACTGTGGCAGTTCATTGAAACTCTTAATTTCTTATGGTTACCAAATGGGAAATAACTACACGAAACCGAAACAAAATTAACAAGTACGGTTATTTGTAATGTTTAGATTTTTTCCGATCGAAAGGATCACCATGATCAGCTGTTAAATAGCCATAATGAGAACAGAAAGACTGTACTCTGAGATCGTAAACAAAGGATCAGCAGCACAATAGGAAGTACATATCTTCGTGTTTCAGCTTCATATTTCACGGGGTTTTTCATTCTATACCATCACGAAACCCAGATTTTATTCGAGTTTAAACGCAGGATCCCTTCCCATCATCACTGAGAAAAAGCTATGGCTCATAAAGCAATTAGTGGTTAATATGGAACATCACTAATAGTAGTAAAGGCAACATACATATAATAATAGCACATATACCTTGGTGATGGTATATGTACCTTAGTATGGTTCACAGACCGAGAATCATTAGTTCATTTACGACTACTATATTAGTGGTGTTTATAAAGCCATAGATTTTTCTCCGTGTATCACATCAAAGCTCAGCTCTCGTATCATTTCACCCCGTCCCGATCTCAACCCTCTACTGCATGTAATTTTTTTGCGACGCCGATTTTGATGAAAAAAATATATTTCATGAAGAAATGTAAGTGAAACGATAAGTGTTTGAGCGTTTTTCGAAATTTTAACTTTTTCTCTAAGCTCGACCAGCCGATGGGCACGACGACACTTTTTTCACACGTCTGAAACTTACTTTGCGACCGGGTATTTCCGTAGGGAGACTGCAGCAAATCCAGTATCACCACCCTCGGATCTGACGACGACGAACGGGTCGCGGAAAATAAACAAAAGATCGTCAACTTTTAAACTCGGCTGATAGCGCGTGACCGAAGTATCGCGGCTCCACTCCTGAGCTAATCGAGAGATGAACTAACTCGCGATCCGCGAACCGCGACTTCGCCGCGGCGCGGATCCGCGCTTGGTGCAGGGAGGGGGGGGGTTGAGGGGGTTTGGTAGGGAGAGGTGTCGCTCCTACTGCGTAAATAACAACAAAAACGATAGCCGGGCAGAGACATGACTCTCACGTGCCGCGTGCCCGTTGACATTGAAAGCAGTTGGTCAACCCTGTCCCCCTGCGGAGTTGCCAGCCGACAGAGTTTAGTTTAGTCGCTCCTCTGACGTAAGGGCGCATCTATAGGGTGTCCCAGGATTAAGTACGAATTTCGAAGGAGCAGGGTGTCTACAAGTCCGGGATTTCCGGAAAGTCTGGAAATAGCACTAATTTTGTAAGGGCGGTCCGGAAGTACTGAAAAAGTGTGGAAATTCCGCAGAAAGGTCCGGAATTTTTAAATATTTTGTCATTTTTGTCGCAATTTCAAATTTTTGAAATTTTTCTAATTTCGTCAAATGGAGGTACTGAAAAAGTACGGAATTTTTCTGTCGGAGGAGGTACTGAATTTCTCGAGAATGTACTGAAGAAGTACTGTAAGAGTACTTATTTTTGACCAGCCTGTTTTAGTAGACACCCTGAGGAGTCGATTCTTTGGCTCAAAGAAAGACGTTTTTGTTGTATGACTTTTATTTCAAAAACGCTTTTTCTGGGGGCCACGACTCCTCAAAGTCGGAAAAAATAAATCGTCTTTTTAACACTGAGACAGTGTTTCATTTCCATAATCATATGAACTGCTGAAAAAAATTTGAACGCGATAGCTATAAACTGTACCTTCCTACTTGAATATTTGAAAATCATACCCCTTAAGCTTCGGTGAATGGGGGCCCCTTTGGCCTTCGAGAGGCCCCATTGATATCTTCTGGAACCCTCCCTCCTCATGTAAGAGCCTCTGAATGGTAACTCTTTGACCAGTTTTCAGGGGTTCTTTTGAAGCGTTAAATTGACCTATTTACTCGCATAGAAACAAAGTGATCATCGTCACAAAAAATAATTAAAAAAGTAATAAAATCAAATTAACTACACTGGTATTCCACACATGTAGAGTATCACCTTATACCATAATTGAAAGGTTTTAGCATCATTTTTTACTTCCGGTCTGTGAAAGTCCGACAGTGTAATCAAAAAACGAAAGAAACCGAACCTTTTCTAACATTTGCTATAGACATTATTTTAGTTCAGTCATTTCGGGATTAGTATTAAGCTTGCTGATTTGGCAACACTCCTCTCCCCTGAGTCGAGACAGCTAAATGGTGTTCGTTTTTCTGGTGTTAAATGTCAATATAATCAGAGTCTCCTTTTTTTTAAAATAAAAACGTTACGCAAGACACCTCGTTATTGTGTTCACCATAGTTCTTTCTCGTGTGGAACAGATCCGGCAGAAATAGGTGTAAAAGCTCACACATTTATTAGCCTTTTCCTCCTTCAGGGGAAATTAGATCCCGTATTGTTTGTAAACATTTGCCGCTGATAAATACATTTGGTTATGACGTAATGAAAGTCGTTCATACTGCTTGCATTAACTTCTGCTCCTCCCTTATCTATCACTCTCGTTTCATCTCCTTGGGCTTTTAAAATTTGTCCTCAGGCACAGGACAATTTTATTACTGTCCAGTTTACAACAAACCTATGAATCTAAAATTCTTGCAATTATAGCGTGATTGGTGCTCTCTCGGTAAAATTTTATTTTGATCCCACGTTTTTATTGCATCCTCGTGTTGATCTATCCCGAAAACCATGATCCAAGCGTCGAATAATTGCCAAAATATGCACAATGAACTCTCCAACTGGTCAACCAAATAGAGTAAAGCGAGTCACCGTTTTTGCAAGTCATCGCACAAAAAATTGTCAAATATTCAGTGCCTACCATGGAATGTTGACAACACAATAATAAAAATGATAAAAACATCAATTTTTACGCAAGTGAAATAGTTTACCTCACAATCGGCAAATATTTAGAGGCTGCATTGTGCGATCAATTCGCGGAGAAAAGGGATGAAATCCAACACTGTTTCTCAAAAATCTCCCTTTATACTCAAATTTGGCAAATCTGCTCAGTTTGTTCGCAAGAATCGGGTCGTAGAGAGAAATGGATGGTAGCAGGCAAAAAAATTATCAATTTTTTTCGCGTAAATCTTACATAAAAGGCGTGAAAAAGTAAGGATCAATGTTTTTATTAAATCACCAGTGGAAAGGGGAGAAAATGAGAGAGGAATCGCGTATAATTCCGCAGGTTGGCATTTTCCTGAAAACTCTGTTGTTAGCAAATAGTTTCAGCCTTGAAGCTTAATGTACCTGGTTGCCTCATTAACTGTTTCTTTGCAAGCATTACAGAAAAATCCCCCTTAAAACCTGCGCACGAGGAGCGGAAGTCTTGATACAACTATTACGACTCCTGTGTAGCGCCAAGTACATACTCTCTTAATTGAAGGCGCTTTCAAACTAGCGCGCGCATGTATTTAGTTTATGGTAACCAGTTGCACGCGTTGTCATTGGGCGCCACAACAATTGCCAAGCCCGATTTCTCCGATCAATTTGGGGATAGCTTGATCCGTAAAATTAGGGTGCAATCAATGAGATAGAGCTTAATTTGTACAAGACATCATTTTTGTTCCGTCAAAATTCATCTGTCAGACTCAAGAGAAGGGAATATAAATGAGGAACTAAAGGGGATGTCTATGACAGAATGGAAGAGAAAACGAAAAACCGAAAAAGTGTTCTCGTGTTTCCACCAAAAAATTAATGGTATCGATTGTAACTCGTAAAACGTCGAAGAGGCGGACTTGGGCGTAAGTGCGCCTTGAATTCAGCGATTATGCAATTCAAGTTACGCAAAAGCTGATTTAGTTGTATCACGTCTTGCGCGTTCACAGTTTTGTTTCTTCATTGGGATGTTTTTACTCAAGTCTGCAAAGAAGCAGCTAATATGACCTACTAAAGATACATATATTTTATGAATTAATCTAAGCTCATCAGAGATTTAAAAAATCAAATAAAAAAGCACTGAAAATTATTTTCCTTACGCATCTAATGCGTAATATCCCACTCGTGGTAATGCCTCTATTTGACATGGGACACATTTAACCACGCTCTTTTCCTGATAAGTTTTGCACTACAAAGGAATGATTCTGCCTCTCAAGTCTTTACCTACTTATCCATCTCTCTCGCTCATTTTGTGTGAATAATCATGGTTAGTTAACCATCGACCCGTCTTTGGAGTTTTCAAACTTCAAATTAGACTGAAAAAAGTGAAAATTTGGTACAAATGCCTGTTAGTCTCCTAATGGTCCATGGATTAACACTAAGCAATAAAATATTTTCAAACAATTGAAAACTAGTGGATTCATTCAGGTTTTTTTTCTTCTTCTCGATTTCTGCACCATTTTTCTCTTCATAATTGGATAGCTTCCTCTAAACGATTCAATTATTCTTGAATTGAAGAGGGGGGAGGAGTTACACGCGTATTCCACTGACCAATCCTGACCACGTCTCTCATGCGTTATGGGCCCTTCGTTTGGCCTTTTCTTCTTCTTCTTATCTTTTTTATACAAGTTTACATACACTACAAAATTCAGTTTGGGGCATGGCAGATCCCATCCCCGGAGGTCTTCACAACAAGAACTAAAATAAGAGGGGGAAAAGGGAATAGGTATCGATGGTGAAACTTCCAAATCACGTATTTTGTTTGTGGTGTTGAAAATCTTTGCTCTCGTTTTCCTTTTCTACGCGTGAACGAATCAACATTATTCCTTTAAGTTTTCACAGAATTTTCTCCGCTCAGAAAAGAAAAATCGCGGCAGTTTTCAAAAATCGCCTTTGAGTATAGTTTTCCATTTAAAAAGTGAAATACTACAAGAAGTCTGCAACATCCCAACCCGAGATACATGGTTTGGAAGTCTCACTGTCTATATGTTCCTGTGGGCTATTTTTGAAATTGATAGACAAAACCATTGACAAAGAAGACCAAAGAGATACGGAGGGATCCTATTGGTGGAAGCGGGTGCGTTCCAATGGACAAAGAAGATAGGTATAATACACTATCCAACAGCAACCCAAGAGAGACCCCTTAGTTAGTCGGTAGTCCATCATTTACCCCCTCAGTCTATACACTGGAAATTATCCGCTTGGATCTAGATTCTAGACGCTTAAAAACATTGACAAGAAAAAGTACGCTCGATTCAATCGGATTTTTGCTGCCTCTTGATTTTAGCAAAAATCCGATTGAATCAAGAGTATTATTTCTTGTCATTGTTTTCAAGAGTCTGGACTCTAGATCCAAGCGACTTTTTTTTCCAGTGTAGGTTCCCATCCATTTCAACGAATAAGATCTATTCTCCCTATGTCTTCTTTGTCTATTGCTTTGTCAATTAATTTCAAGAATCAGCCTGCTGACCCCAGGATCTAGACAAGCTTCCGGAACTGTCTTTCGACACCACTCGGAGGGGAGCTCGCCTTAGTTTGGCTTAAATTTGTTCATGTGCTCGCCGTGAGCCTGCTCGTCCCGTCTTAAGGTCCCTAACGACGGAGTTGCGTTGCGCAAACTGCGTGAAGGTCAGGACCGTATTCTACGCTTCAGCAACAGATCGCACCTGGAACGCAAGTTTGACTTTTGATGTTGCCGGCGACGCGACGCACTATGGTCTGGGGGCGCCGAATTGTGGCCATAAATCAGGAAATGATCAGAATATCATGAAATTTGGTGTACTTATGTTTTTTGGGTCGCTGAATTCAAATTTGACCTTAGTTTTACAAAATTCTTAAATCCAAGATGGCGGCAGGCCCTTGAAACCAAAAAATTAGAAGAAAAGCCAAAATATGATTAGAATACCAAATTGAATGTCAGTTTAATGTTTTGAAGGTTGTCTCACTATAATATGAAATCTATTTTTCAATGATCAAGAGGTTATCAGGGCAGAAGCCCCAAAAATACGTATTTAATCCAGAAAAATAAGAGAAGAAATGATTGAAATTGAATCAAATCAGTACTATGTTTT